CTCAGTTGAGTTATTAAAAGAGGCGAGAAACGCCGGTATCACCTAAGGAAACAGCTTTTACCGATTGAAGTACGAGTAGATCCTGATAGATTCAGACTATGACAGGATGTGAGATACATGACTTGTGTACTTCAAAAAGTTTCAAACATCTTGTGGTAATAATGAGCTGCTATTATAAACGCAAATGAACCCGGCATCTTGTCAATGTGGCGTGAAGTAGCGACGATTCAGAATCTTTTCTAACTTCATGGTGGAATATCCTTCTAGGTCTTACCAGCTTGGTTTAGTTCCTGTACATGAGGACATGTCCTCCTTTAAAAAAACTCCAATAATGGTCTCCAGTCATGCCTTTATTCGAGTCAGTCACATTGTATTATCATGGTGTAACAAATGGGATATCTGGAAGTTCTTTCTTCTTTTTGTTTTGAACAAACTTTTTTGTTCTTACCCGTACTAAATAAATATTTTGGCAAGTACTTATTCTAAAGAAACGATATTAATGCGGGAATTATTGTAGTATTAGTAATGATAATTCAAAAGCAAAACAAATGTATATGGGATGAAAGAATAGCCCTTCTGCTAGAAGACCAACTGAGTTTTGTTTGAGTTTATTATAAAGAAACACGATACTCTGGTCAATTATAAAGAAAATCCTAGTGCTAATAATTTTTAATCATCCAAAGCGCAGGGTGTTTCAAATATGCTTACATGTACACACACACGCGTACGACGCTCCAGAGCTACCCCTGGTATACCGAATACTGGTAAGTAAGGCTCGAAAACAACAACCACCCCCCGCAAAAGCACTTCTCCTTACACTTTTCAGACAATTTAATATCTGATGTCATTTCGAAGCAGATTATAAGAAATGTGACCCAAACTTACTTGTATGCCATATGCTAAAAGCAATATTCTAGCGCTTTTGAAAGCACTAAAACAGAACAGTGGTCCAAGAAACAAATAGTGGTCAATGTAACAATTCACAATGTGTATCAGTATGCATATAAGTAATAAAAATTTACTGCTTTGATTTCATGAAACTATTATGTCTTTCTACAGCAGCATGCTAAGGGTACAACTTATGCTGAGGTCACATTTCCAAACCGGGGCCCGGCCGGGCTGTTTAGATTAACGAAAAATCAAGAATTTATATTAAAAACAATATACGCAAATAGTTCCCATTATTAATGTTTTCAACTTTTTTGTTCTTTGTTGTCTTTCATATCATACTTTTCGTTTCATAAGACTGCCCGGCCGAGCCCCGGTTTGGAAATTTGACTTCAGCATTAACACAGCAAACATTTTCACACCTACCTGCTTATTGTCAGTAACGAGCTACTGACGTGACAGGTTTAAAGTAGCAAGGCTAGATAATGATAATACTAATTTACTAGAAAGGCACAATATACTTAATATTTAGTACCACAGTTACCGCAGTTTCTTTAAGAATAAGTAGTTGGCAAAATATTCAATATGGACAAAAACAAAGGCTTGTGTTTAGAAAGAACATGATGATACAATCATTGTGAACTCGAATAAAGCTTCCAAGACGGTGCAGTGCAAGTACTATGTTTGTTCACCAAACTACTGACACATTTGATGCCAGACGCAGAAAATTATGATACTCCTTTATTAATAGGCTCGAGGTCAGATTGTCAGTACAAAAATTCTTTTTTTTAAGAATGTATATAAGATGCTGTATGTATAATTTGTGTTTCTATGTTTGTACCGTTGTTTTCTATGGGTGAAATACCTGAAATAAAGACATTCATTCATTCAAAGACCATTGCTGGGGGCTCTGGTATAGAACCAAGGCAGCCAGCCTGTGAAGAGCTAGGGGAAACAACGTGAAGTTAGGAAAGAAACACAAATGTAGCCGAAAGTTATCGTGTTTACAGTTACGTCTGAATCGTCGCTACTCCACGCCACATTGACAAGATGTCGGGTTCGCTCGCATTGATGATAGCAGCCCATTACCACAAGATGTTAGAAACTTTGAAGTATGTCGTAGCCTGAAGATATCAGGAACTACTCGAACTTCAATGGGTAAAAGCTGTTTCTCGTCTCTTTGAATTGGACAATTAAGGAATTTCCTTAGGGTGATACCGGAGTTTCTCGCCTCTTTTGATAACTCAACTAAGGATTTGGCCTTGGTTGTCTGTCCTGCGGCATTTTCACCAGACAGAAAGGCTTTCAGCATAGGCTCATGAATTAATAGAAGCTTCGTCGGCTGGTAAATGTCAGGTGTCACCTGACATTTGCGGCCGTATATTCAGCTTTACCAGCCAAAATCAACTCAAAAGAGACGAGGTATAATAAAGCTGACATCCTGAGGAGATTCATTTAAGGCGCGGTCACATTTCCCAACCCGGGGCCCGGCCGGGCAGTCGTATGGAACTTATATGAAAATCATGATGCAAAACAGCAAAGACAGCAAGACAGCAAAACACAAAAAAAGTTGTAGAAAATTAACCACGAGCACTATTTGTGTGTACTCTTAATACAAATTGTTAATTTTTCGTTCACGCAAACAACCCAGCCGGGCCCCGGCTTAGAAATGTGACCGTGCCCTAAGGGTGGAAGTATAGTGTCCATGGTGCGGACGTCATCGGTAACACGATAGCTTGTTTGTGCCATATTGTCCGTAGCTCGAAGTTTGTGTTTCTTTTCTAACTTCATGGTAAAATTTTACTCTATCTACAAGCCCCTGTCACACATTCACAAATTTGGCCTCCCTTATTACGCTAGCCGAACGCCCGCCAACCATGGTTAGGAGTGGGTACCAGATCACACCCCACACACCCTGCGTCCGCTGTATACTAACAGCTTGTACATAAATGACATGACTTAACGAATAACAACATGCTTCTTTTCGGAGTAGAATAAAAGTTTATTCAGGGACCGAGGTTGCTTGAAATAATGAGATCACAAGATAAACATTGTCATCTAATAAAAAAAAAGCATTCGCCCGAGATACAGTCACCGATATAGTATCAACTACAGACTGTAACATTTGTTTAACAGAATGTCAACCTTCACATGGTCTAGCACTTGCTACATAATGTAATCCAACACCACAGGGTGTATGTTACAGCTACAGCAACAGTTACCATGGTCACAGACGTCTGGTCCAGGTCATTGACCTTATTTGTTTGGAGGAAAATAGAGGAAAAAGTATTTTATCTTTCTTTCCTTCTCGAAACTTGTAAACTTCAAAACTGTGGCAAGCAAATAACAAGGAGTCCTGTCCTTCGTAAAGCTAAGGCCATGTTGATTTAATTATATGGATGACATCCGCGCGCGCATGAATTTTCGGCCGTTTCCAAAAAAAAAAAGTTTTCAACCATACTGTAAATCGTGCAAAACAGTTGCTAAATGAGCAAAAAAATACCATAAGTTGCAAGGAAAACATTTAGAAACGATACCAATGTCGCAGAATGCCAAAATCAAAGGAAAAAAGACAAAAATGTAAAGAAATGAATTCGAAAAGTAGATTATTCGCCATAACATATTCTGTGCCATTTGTTCAACCTTCATGACCACGTAGATTTCATAGTGAAAGCAACTTTTTTTTTTTGCAAAACTTTTTTTATTCGCACGCGCGCATCAGTTTTGGGGTTCCCACAGGATGTCATCCATATAATCAAATCAACATGGCCTAAGGCACAATGAAGCACAGTCTGTCGATCATCGGCTGGAGGTTTTTGCCATAAACAGATAAGCCAGTCGTTCTTCTCCGTCAGCGCGGACTGCCCAGATCTCTCCCCGGTACGGCCGGCCAGGCTCCAGCCCGACAGCCTCGTACTCCACCAGGCTGGACCCCAGCTGGGCAGGCGAGACCTGCAGGGGGAGGGTACAGTCATGGAGGGGAACGGGGTTCAATAGGGGCTGTGCTACGGAGCTAGCTCCATGGAAGTGATTAGTACAGCCCCTTCTCACGGCGTTTATATTCACCCCAGCACTGTATCCCAGCAATTAACTGGAAAGCTACGTGTAGATCTAGAACTCTCAGGCACTGTGATTGTGAACTTACGAGTAGCGCCCCAAGCCGCAATTTGACACAGCACTTAAGCTGCTGTTCTGAGACAACAGGAGCTATTTGACTAATGTACATCTTCCTTTTCTTGACTTGTCTAACTTTTATCCTTAATTAAAAAAATGTCTTCACTTATTTGCACATCAATCGATTGTTCGTGCTCATAAACCAGGTTTTACCCGCTCTCCTCATGATAAAGTTTTATGTGTTTGAATAAAGTTAAACAATATTTTACTAAGTTCCATTTTTGTGCAAAAATGTCGCCTAATGCCCCTTTAATGTATATACTAGTATAGTAAAACGTTAAACTTTATTCCAACACACTATTTACAGGGATCAAATTTTCAGCGACCACTGTCGCCTTCATCAGGATAATTAATGACCAATCACTTCAAAACGTGAGCTCGCGAGAGTTACGGTTTACAAACACGTGACATTATTCACACGAGACTTTACTGATACGTGACGTAAGCAATTGATCAAAAGTGCCAGGGAGTTTATATCGTCCACCATCTCTATTAAGTGAAGGCTGAAGTGCTCTGATATATATAGCCTCCTTAATGCCTCTTAGAAAGTAGTCCTGTTCAGTGTCCAGTATTCTAACTTTGTCCAGAGAGACTGTGTGGCCAGGTGATTCGATGTGGATGTGTTGAGAAACTTCAGATGACAGCGAGCTGGGGCGTTTGTGTTCACGAAATCTGGTCCTTAGTGAGCGTTCTGTCTCGCCAATGTACGATTCTTCGCAGGTCCCATGCCTTGTGGTTCCCTGACACGGAATACAGTACACGACGCCACATTTCTCTTCTTTAGGTGTTTTGTCCTTAGGGGCTACGAGAAGCTGTTTCAGTGTGTTGGTGGGTGTGAAGGAGGTGGAGATGCCGTGTGAAGCGAAAATTCTGCGCAGGGGTTCTGAGACGGTCTTGATGTACGGGAGAGTGATGCGGCCTTTGTCCTTCTGTTTTGTTCCCGGGTTTCTGTTGTTCTGTTGGGTGGGTTTCGGTGTAGTCGCCTTGTCTATGGCCCATTTAGGGTACCCACAGTCCTAAGTTCTAAGAGGCATTAAGGAGGCTATATATATCAGAGCACTTCAGCCTTCACTTAATAGAGATGGTGGACGATATAAACTCCCGGCACTTTTGATCAATTGCTTACGTCACGTATCAGTAAAGTCTCGTGTGAATAATGTCACGTGTTTGTAAACCGTAACTCTCGCGAGATCACGTTTTGAAGTGATTGGTCATTAATTATCCTGATGAAGGCGACAGTGGTCGCTGAAAATTTGATCCCTGTAAATAGTGTGTTGGAATAAAGTTTAACGTTTTACTATGATTACTACCAACACAGATGAACTTTCATAATATATACTAGTATATTTGTTTGACATGGCATGATTACCTTGTAGAGCCTTTCCGCTAGGCTTCCCCCGTCCCACCGTAATGTGACGGTGTAGGTAGGAGACACCGGGCCGGCGTAGAGAGCCGACACGTTGACGGAGAGTCTTGTCTCGCTGACTCCCGTCACATATGTCCCTTCGTACAGTAACTGCGAGAAAGCACCGCCACCTAGCGGCTTCTTCCAAATCTCCACCTGGGGCAAAGTAACACTTTTCTCAGGTCATCATCCAAGATTCTTTTATATCACGTATTTGCTCTAAGACTTTTATTATTTGCCGTTTCGTTACTTTTTGTTTTGATTTTATTATTAACCATTATAATATGCGCTCTTTCTCAGTGGTGGGGCTAAGATTAGAAACCTGTTACAGTTGCCCGCCACTATGTCCTGTAAGCTTCTATGTTGCTCAATGAACTATTTAAACAACAAATTTAGATAATGATTCCGATACAGAAACGTTTTGCTCCGAAAATCACCCACGATCTACATTGTACGAAAATGTGTTGCAAGACATATACATAGAAGGAATTAATCAATCGTGATAGGAAGGTTTACACATGTCACCCTTTAATGATAAGGCCATACCGACTTCATTTTATGGATGACATCCCATGAAGACCCCCAAACTAGTGCGCGCGGGCGAATAAAAAAATTCCAGCCAAAACTAAAAATGCTACTAAACGGAAGGAATGCAAAGCTGGTATTGTGAATTTCCGGCAGTACATAGCGACGTATACGACAAGCCACCACATGCTGGCTTTTTGCGGAATTTATGAATCGGCACTGTACGTATGAACTGAGTTCTTGAGTCGTGGAGCTTCGGTAGCCTGTGCGCCATCTTCCAGAGTTACCATCAGCTCCGTATTGTCGCTATCTACCATGGACTACCCAGCCAGAGCCTCGGAGGACGTGTTTTTTTTTTTTGAGAACAGACGAAATGTAATCCATAAAATTAAGTCGGTGTGGCTTAATGAGAAAAAAAAGTTCGACATGCTTTCACGGTGGTACAGATCCTATAACTAATAGACATATACGACCACACCTTGTACTTGGAACTCGTCTGTAGGTCCCCAAAGTTGGCAATCTCCTCGCTGGCGTTGCCAACGTCTACCGGAGGGAGGGTGACCTCTGAGAGTAAGGGCAGGCCCCGGATGTAGAGGCTGTACCCTTCTGCGTCGTTTCCCCCTCCCACGCGGTCCCATTGCAGACGGAGACTGCTTGTCGTTGCTGCCTTCACAAAATCTGAATGAGAGGGGTGGGGCGTAGATTTTATCACCATCTTGATTTACTTATTCTATTCTGTTAAGTCGAAGCATCAGAATTATCAGTAATCTTCCTCGTCATGATCTCGTGCTGGTTTAATACTTTTGTGTTGAGTACTTTAATTTATTTCTTACTGTTCAAGCTAGAGAAATGAACACGAGTACGTTCTGCCGACGGGTTGTCAAAATGTACGCTGACCTTTCCCCACTGCAGAGGTCAAGCTGGGCCACGCGAGGGGGAAATTAACGACTGAAAATTAAATCAAAACAGTATGATAATGATAGTTAGATTAGCAATAGTTAACATCACTATCATCAGCTTAGTGTTTGTCATTGCTTTCTGTGCGTTATCACGTAATCATAAAGAAGTCTTTTTTTTACAAAACATATATTGCTAAAGGTATTTACTAGTAGATAGATACGTTTACTTTGTAAGTACATTGTAGATGCACGTCCCGCGATATAAGCTTGCTCATTTCTAGGTCTCAACAAGACCTACCCAGCTACCAAATATCAAGACAATTCTCGAGTTTTCGTGTTAAAACACACAGCGAGATACACAGACCCACACGAACGCTACCGAAAACATAACCTTCTTGGTCAGGGGTACCAAAGAATTCATACGAATTTTACGGAATTCATGCGAATTTTATGAAAAATACATACGATCCCTTACAAGGCAACATACCAATTTCACGAAATACGTAGTACTACGATCCATTACCAGAAACCTACGGATTTTACTTTTCCGGAATATATACGACCCATTTCTCGGAAACATACGACCCTTACTATAATTTGGTGACCTGCGACTGGATCAACAAATTCGTTTTGAATTCCGTAAAATTCGTGTGAATTCTTTGGCACCCCTGTTGGTGAAGGTAACCAATTTTTTAATTCCAACATTTCATGACTGGACATGGTGACGGCACACTCAAGTTATATCAACTTATTTTATACCGGCACCAACGCAGAGGACAAATACGGAACAGGACAATACTCATGAGTTAAGTGAGAAAAGTCGTGTAAAGTGGCATGTCAGGACTCGAACCCGGGACCTCTGGGTTCCGAGTCGAGTACTCTGCCGCTGCGCCACACGACCCCACGTTTGAAGTTCAACCAAACGTACTTCACCCTAAGCGAAGTTAGATAATGAAAGTGACAGTACGTACACATCATGGCGAAGGCGACCCCAGACATCATGACAGCGAGAAGGACACCTATCCCGAGCAGGTTCACCATCTTAGCTAGATCGGTCTCCTGCTGCTTCTGAAGATGTGAAAAACAATGTATACATCACATACGTACGAGAATAGTATATCGGGACACTACCTAATGACATTACAATCTATGCAAATTTCTGCAAGTCTCCTATTAGCTAAAATGTTACATAAATTGCCAAATTTGCATACATCATGCGTTTAATATCGCATAAAATTTGCATACATTTGCATTAATTGTACAGTAGTGTCCCTATATACTACTTACGACGGTATACTTTTAATTACATCTAATTAGCTAAGGCCACATTGATTTGATTATATGGATGATATCCCCCGGGGACCCCGAATTCGAAACTGACACGAGCGTGCGAATGGAAAAAAAGTTTAGCAAAACAAATTATTATGAAATCTACGTGGTCATAAAGGTTGAACAAATGACTAAACATATAGAGGTATGGCAAATAATAATAGACTCTTCATTTTTATTTCTGCACATTTTCTTCTTTTTCTGAATTGATTTCGGTATTTTATGACATTAGTATCGTTTTCCAATACTTTTTTTGCAACATACGACAAATATTCGCTCATTTCGTGCGATTTACAGTATGGTCGAAAACTTTTTTTTTGAAACGGACGAAAATTCATGCGCGCGCGGATGTCATGATATAATCAAATCAACATGGCCTAACTCACCTGATATTCTAAGTTTCACTTCATTCGGTATTACATGTATTTCATTTCATTAACTCATTAGCTAGAATATTGCGCGAATCTGCATACATTTGCATAAGTTGCACAGTAGTGCCCCGATACACGACTTACGACAGAGTACTCTAACGTTACAAATAACTCACACGATGGCACCTGGCACTTACACTAAGTTTCCCGTGCTTAATAATGGATTTTAATGTAGATACCTATGGGGTCATGAATTGATGTTGCGCAACAGTGATGTACTTCTATCACGTGGTGAGCACGGGCGGGGCACGACCTGAGCCAATCACAGTGTAAACTTGATCCGCCCTAACCAATCGCAGTGCAGATCTACACGTGCTCCTAAATTTGCCGCGTCGTTCAGAATTTCTCGGCCCGTTTTTAATTGAGCAGAATTTCTCGGCCCACTCGAACGAACCACGGTAGCGACCGGTCGGAAAAAAATCGTGCAGCGGTTTTGGGCTTCCTTTTGCGGAGAGACGGTCGTCATTTGTTCTTCGTGACTTGTGCAGCCTCTTGGGCTTCTTTTGCGGTGAGTTGTTCGAACCTTTTTGTATTGTCATGGCGGAAGCTCCCCCTACCACTGAGATTCTGCGATGACAGCTTTCGGTACGTGTGTTGACCCATTTTTCTGGTATGAACGACCTCGGAGGTATGCATAAAAACGTTTTCGTAATACGAAAATACTTTACCAAAATAAAAAGTGAACGCATCTCTGACGTACCGTGCGGTATATTGGAGATCCGTGAGTGGGTGCCAGCATGTCGGCAGGTCTCAGCCCAGGGCTCCGCTGCAGTCTTGTCGATTGAGGACCTGCCTGTTCTTGAGGCTGCAGGTCCGCTGCCTGTAATAATACAGTTGTAAGTAATAGTAATAATAATAGAAATAGTAATAGAAGTAATAGTAGAAATGATAATAGAAATAGTAATATAAATGATAATAGAAATAGTAATAGAAATAGTGATAGTAATAGAAATAGTAATAGAAATAATAATAGAAACAATAACAGAAATAGTAATAGAAATAATAATAGAAATAATAATAGAAATAATGATAATAATAATGATGATAATGATGACAATGATGATGAAAAACAAAATTATTAAATTAAAGGTATATAAAAGTACATAATAATATAAGGAGAAAACGAACATAAATCAGAACTAAATCTAAACAAAAGTTGCACTACGAATGATTAAAAAATGGAAGAATATAGATATTTGATGGGGATTAATTTCATAACATTCATTTAAGAAAAGTAAACAAAATCAATCAATTGAAATCAAATGAAACAAGAAGGGTAAAGTTTCCCCACATTAATTAAATCAAATGGCTAAACTACTACCAGTGGCTGAGCTTGAAGCTGCGGATTCGCTCCCCGCATTGCCAGCGGTTCAGACTTTGGATCCGCCCCGTACCCTACCCAGGTCCACGCCCCGGGTCTCCAGTTACTCCGGACGTGAGGCCCCGGCGCCGGGTCCTTCTCCGGCCACGGTGTCTGCGGCACCGACAGCACGTCCACAGACAGACTGTCCTCCTGCGGTTTTGTCATTTATTTCATTTCATTTCGCACAAATAAAAAAAAAACAATATCCATCAACAAATACCCTGAACGAAGGAAAAACATTGTGCAGGAAGTAGGAAAGAAGCCTGCAAAGCTTGTACAAGTCCTCCTCCTTGAAACTTGAAAAATATTAATCATGAAACTAATATGATATTGATAAATTAACTAAATAAAACCTAGACATAACAGAACAAACCTGATTCAAAAATATAAAAAGACATGAAAGTAATGTATGCTAATGTAAGCTGTTATACAGCTTGTGCTTACGCCATCACAATAATAGATATCACGAGTAGCGGTGGTGTAGGATAAATTTAAGATGATAAATTATCATATTACAAACATAGAAAGCACAAAGAAACAGGGGTACGGGCACAAATGAAAATAAACAAAGGAAAAAAGTGTAGGATAAATGTGAGATGATGAATTATCATATTAAAAATAGGTGAGCACAAAAAATAAGGTATAGGCACAAATAAAAATAAACAATAGGAAGTATAACAAATTATTGTATTGAATGTGGGTTTTACGGCCTGCACTTGTGAGAGCTGTAGCGGAGAAATCGCCTCGTCGATGTCGTGGTCGCCATGGGTGTGGCCGGGCGGCAGTCTGGGGCTGGGCGGGCTTGTGTCGGACCCCTGCCCGCTGTCTGGCTGCCCGGCGGCCGGCTCCAGCACGCGCAGCCCGTAGTCCAGCCGCAGGTCGTTCATGGTGGTCTGCCGGACACTCCCCGTCATGCCGTTCACCATGAGAACTACAGCTGCCCCGGTTTCAAACTGGGACGGGCGCCTGCTGGACATCGCACGTGGGCGGACACGTTTGCAAATAGACGCTCACTGTGTGGACATGTACATACAACAAAAGTTCATGAATGAACGACCTTTATTGTACATTTTTGCTCATTGCGAGCTAAGTACAGGTCATGGTAAATAGCGATGGTAGACTAAAATATATCTATAGTAAAACTACGTATGTATGTTGTAAATGTAAGAACAGATGGAGTTTACAGTACGAGGATGATCGAGTTTCATGAGGAAAATGAAATTTTCTTTTCTATCTAAAAATCTAAAACTAGGGAAATAATCTTGTACACAATTGAAGAGAATCTTTCATTATTATATAGAGTACAGTCCACAATAAAATGACTCTCGTCTTCAATCTCACTTAGGTCAACCAATTGAACACATTTGATTGACTGGAGGAGCCTAAACATAATGCTTCAACTATCCTCGATCATATAATTTTTTATGATAGAGGAACAAAATGAATGAATGAAGACCTAGCTTTATTGTAATGTTCACATATAAATACAGGTCACAACAGAAGAATAGAATACAGATAATGTTACATATATACATTGTCAAGTAAATAATGATATGCTATATAGTCCTGCTGCACATACAATGTGGTCTTATCCAACAGAAACCGCAGATGGTAGTCGTCCTTTCTGTTAAAAGATGGTGATTTAGCGTCTGCCTACCTACAATATATGACGCTATGGAATCAACGAAAGTGGCTCACAGAAGTGCAGGTAGGCTGTTCTGCACCTGGCAATATAATAGGACGGGCCTTTTAAAAACAACAATCGTTTTCTATCCACGAGTTTAGAAACCAATGATACAGACTGTTTCTACTGGATTCCATCGTTAACCAGGTTGCTATCATCGGGAATTTTACAAAACGATATAGTGGGAAACGAAATACAAATACAAACTAGATTTAAATAAGATATTTGATGTAAAGCAGTGACAAAGTTCGTGTATTTCATTACGTGTATGTGATGCACGCGGATAGCTATTGATACAGTTTTGGGCGTTGTCCTCATCCACCCGATCCAGCCTCACAAATTATTCATGAGGACACAATAACCGGGCCGCATTAGGAGAAGCCGCAGTTAGCAACAAGTGGTACGACAAAAACACCGCAGCCAAAGGCTCAAAAAAGTAATCTCCAAGCAGATCCCTTTCGGTGGCAAAAAGACAATATCAAATTGGCCAGGCAGTATCCATTAGCCAGAGGAGGTCCGCGGCCACCGGGGGTCGCTACAAAAAAACGGCCATATATAAATAGCTAATGATCATTCCCCCACAACCTCTGCTTGGAGAGTAACAAAAAAATATATAATCGCAACAAAGGCATCACAGCTAGAGCACAAAACCATGAGTCACAGCCTCGTGGTCATTGTGCTATCAATGGCAACATCATCTTACATATAGCACGACAGGAATGAAAAGAAAGCATTTGATACTGCATCAATTACAAACGGCTGTTCCAACAAGGGCACTGATACTAGCAGCAAAAACATGGCCATAATGGTGCAACAGGTCGTTATCCATAGCAGGACCTAGCGTATCATGTATACTGTATAAAACGACTATATACTCATACAAGGTCGCCTAACGCGTTACGTGTATGTACATGTACATGTATGTATGCTGCGTAAAACACGACTATTTCGTATAATGGTACCTAACTTGTCCTGTATACTATAAGACGACTATAATGTATGACGGCACTTAACTTAGGTGTCCTGTATAACAAGACTATCCCGTATATTAACCCATAACGTGTTATATGTACTGTGTATACTGCGACTATCCCGAGTTGCTTTGCGCGCAGGGAGGGTAAGATAGCACGCACCCCCCATCTGGTGTCACTCTGTGGTCGCAGCCCGGACGCCACGGACGTACGCCATGGCGTTCCCGTGTTGCGCGGGGATTTTACCCTGGTCGGAGCCATTTTGTTAGAAATTTAGATCGACCAGGGCGACGCAGAGCTGCTGGAGCAGCCGGCAAGTTTCAAACCCAGGAGATGAACCGAGATGAGCTAGCGACGCAGATTTTCATCCTCGGACTGACGGGCCGGGACCCCGAGCAGTTCACCAGTACCCGGCACATTTCCCGGAAAGACGGCCGCACAAGCGGTCACCAACCTACTGGACGGGCAGGGCGACACAGCCGCAGCCAAGTTTTTTGTTTGGCCCCAGGTAAAATTAGTGAGAACGATTTGGATGTTTTTAATCTAACGGGTAAGAGCAAGTTAAGATGCTCCCCGGACTGTTTTTAGAAACTTTGATTTTGAAAATATGCGACGAGTAAGAGCAAGTTGAGATGATCCCCGAACTGTTTTTGGAAAAATGTGGATTTTTTAATCTAACGGGTAAGAGCACGTTCAGATGCTCCCCGGACTACGTTAGAAACTTTGATTTTAAAAAATCTGACAAGTAAGAGCAAGTTGAGACGCTCGCCGGACTGTTCGAAACGCTTTGATTGTGGAAATCCGGCAGAGAAGAACAAGTCCCCGGACGGTTGGGAAAACAATGATTTTGAAAATCCAGCGGGTAAGAGCAAGTTTAGATGCTCCCCGGACATAAAACTATGTTTATCGGATTTGGGAGAGCATTGGTAGATGCCACCCTCCAAGAAGTAGACGGAGTCCT